ATTACAGTAGAGCGTCGTTTATCCGAATCAATTTGGAACTGGGGTTGTTCGGATAACTTATTTTTCGGATAACCGATTATGTTCGAAAAAATATATTAATCCATGTTGAAAGTTTTCTCCGTCGCATTGAATTTTCGTCGATGTTAAGCCTAACGTAAACTTTTTAAAATAATAATCGTGGCTATTGTATCGTTAAAAATTATTTCTTTATTTTTTACAAACAAAATAAATATATTGAAAAATATAAAAACAATAAAAAATTATACTTTAAAAGTTAATGTAGTATCAAAAACGTTCGATTCAGCGCAATACACAGTCCTCAGAAAAACACCACACAAAAGGCCAGGGCTGCCAGCTAAAACACACACATCAACAAAAAAAAATATTGTAGTAGCCCAAGATATAGCCAAAGATTGCAGCGCCACAGCACTAGCGAAAATTTAAATTTGCCGACTGGAATTCTTTCGGATAACCGACCTTCGGATAAACGACGCTCTACTGTATTAATTAATCGTAATAAATAAATGAAATTGTGTATGGCGCCATCTGTTATGAGATTGTGTTATAAAAATTTTTCTCATTTTATTAATTATTATAAAATGCAAAAGGTTTAAATTTGATGGTAGAGACGAGTTTTGTAAAAATTTGTAAATGCTAACAACGAGTAAAATCGTCATTAAATCCGACCTCACTGTGAATAGATATGATACATAACCCAATCTATCTCCCTACCCTCTCGATTTTTAATATCCAAAATTTAATAGCATCAATTTCCCAAATAAACAAACCTCTCTGCAAAATTTCAGAAATTTTCAACAAAAAGCACAGGAGTTATTAGGCTTCAAACAGGGTAGACAAAATCGTGCCGCGCGCTCACATACATTCATACATACAGAAAAAAACATCCCAAATTTTTTAGCGTTTCTCGACGTTTCAAGGTCTCCGAGTCCAAAAATGTAAAAATCTTGGGGAGGGGTCATTTTTTGACCGATCGCCATACTTTTCCTCTTATGTATAACAGCCGGAAAAGTAAAAAGAAGGCATAGTCTTTGTTCTGCTGTTCATAAAATTTCGTCGAATGCTAGCGCCTTTCTCAAAAATAAAAAAATAATTCTCATTCTTATTCAAATTTTACCAGAATTAACTTTAATAAATATGATTATTTTTAATGCACCTACTCGAAGTAGAATTTTTTATCATTAAAACACAACTCATTAACTAGAGTTCCACTGTATCTTAATATTTTCCCAGTCCAAAACAATAGTTTAATTCAAAATTTTCTTGTTGTAATTATTATTATTTCCTAATCTAAAAATATAAAATTACTTGTCCTGACTGACTGAGTCACTGATTCATCATCGCCAAGAGCAAACCGCTGAACCTAAAGAGGTGAAATTTTGTACACAGTTAGGATACGTCATGGAAACGCACACTAAGAAGGGATTTTTCGAAATTCCCCGCGGAGGGAGAGGGAGAGCATTAAGGCTTAACCGGAAAANCCTTTATCAAAATTTATTTGTCCTACGTTTAACCCGAGTGTCGCCTATGACGTTTCTGTTTGTATTTTACGAACAGACGTTCGGACGTTT